GCAGTTCCTGCCCCAGCCCCATCATCATCTCCGGACTGGAGAAGGGGATGGACGTCCCACCAGGCCAGATGTTCTGGGACCTCTTCCGACGAGACTCATTTGGGGACCCGCGTTGTATCACCTTGCTTTGTGGGGGGGGGGGCTAGGGAGGGAGGGAGGGGAAAAAAATGTGCCTTGGGAGAAAAATTAATTCTGCACCACTAAACTTCCTGACGACTTAAGACGAAGCTCTCGTCATTATGGGATGGCTGCCTCTTTGAAGACCAGGTGGCGGAGACCAGATTACGGTGGGTGGCCGTCTTGCCTGGTCGGTGAATTTTTATTTTTTATTTTTATTTTTTCTGGAGGGATCTGACCGGGCGTTGTTGGATGGACTTTGAAACCGAAGCGGCTTCAAATCTTACCAGTATCAGCGGAGTGGGGAGGGGAGCAGAAGAATTTGGGATGGCCCTTGAAGCCGTTCCCTGTGGAGGGATGGCCGGGGAACGGGGTCCATTCAAGGCCCAGCTTGCCGAAATTAGGGGGTGGGCTGGCCTGTCCTTGGGAAGAAAGGCACAGCTCTCTTCAGCCCAAATTGGGATGGGAGGGGAAAGGAGGTTGCAGTCCCTAGTGAGGAGACAGATGCGAAAAGGCCTCTGGGAGAGCAGGAGGTAAGGGCTTGCCAAGCTGCCTCTGAAGGCTAGGAGGAAAGCAGTAGTTGGCTTGGTACCAAGATGGTGGCCAACAGCTATTCAGCAGGAGAGGATGTTATGGGGGGTGGGGGTAGGGGGGTGAGGGTAGGCAGAACCACAAAGCTTCCCCCTTTGGGCTTCAAGACAAGGTGTGCAGGATCCACACTCGGGGAGTAGAGTGGAGTTAGGAAGACCGAAACGTTAAGGACAACCTACTTGGTGGATGGTGCCACTTCCATCTGCTCCAGAGTTCCTCAGACTCTTATTGAGCATGGAGGGGGACAATTATATTCCCCCCTTTTGGGGGGGGGGAGTCATCTAGGTCGAACGTTTTCAGAGTTCTAAACCAGGGCTAAACCCTAGTTTGTTGGTTTGTTTTAGGATTACATATGCAGCTAGTGTGTAACCTTTCTCCAATGGGTACTTAGATGGGGAGACGCCAGAATAGCAGAGCTGGAAGGGGCCTTGGAGGTCTTCTAGTCCATCCCCCTGCTCAAGCAGGAGACCCTTGCAGAATAACAGAGCTGGAAGGGACCTTGGAGGTCTTCTAGTCCAACCCCCTACTCAAGCAGGAGACCCTTGCAGAATAACAGAGCTGGAAGAGACCTTGGAAGTCTTCTAGTCCAACCCCCTGCTCAAGCAGGAGACCCTGTGCCATTCTGGATAAATGGCTGTCCCATCTCTTCTTAAAAACCTCCCATGTTGGAGCATCCACAAACCATCCCATTTCTATTGATGGGTCTCCAGAAGAAGGTTCCTCTAGGACAGATGATGGGAAGACCATAATAATAATAAAGTTGGAAGGGACCTTGGAGGTCATCAAGTCCAACCCCCTGGTCAGGCAGGAAACCTTATTATACCATTTCGGACAAATGGCTGTCCAGTCTTTTCTTAAAAACTTCCAGTGTTGGAGCATTCACCGCTTCTGGAGGCAGGTAGTTCCACTGGTTAATTGTTCTAACTGTCAGGAAGTTTCTCCTTAGTTCTAGGTCGCTTCTCTCCTTGATGAGTTTCCATCTGTTGCTTCTTGTCCTGCCTTCAGGGGCTTTGGAGAATAGCTTGACTCCCTCTTCTTTGGGGCAGCCCCTGTTCTAGAGCCCGATGAGAGTAGCTGGGAATGGACTTTTCTTCCCAGCTAGGCACCGACTGCTTTCTTCTGGGGAGAGTTTGACGCTCCTCTTGGGATGGTCCAATGGCTGCAGGACCTCCATTACCAGAACTGTAAGAATTTATCTGGCCCGACATGCTGGATACGGCGGTGTTTGGAAGACTGGGGACATGGGGACAATGTGACTGGTGACTCTGGGGCCACCAAGGCTCTCTTTGGTGAACTGATCCACCTGAAAGCTGGTGGGCAGGGTGACCATCCTGAAGCTGCAAAACACGAGTGTTTGTGCCCCAAAGGTGCTTTTTCAGGAGGGAACTGGATCTTCTTGTTTTTCCTTTGAAGACGTTTTGCTTCTCATCCCAGAAGCTTCTTCAGCTCTGGATGGTGGGGAAGGGAAAGATTTATACTCCTTGCTGACTCTTTCTTTCTTTTTCTTTCTTCCTTTCTTTCTTTCTTTCTTTCTTTCTTTTTCTTTTTTTCTTTCTTTCTTTTTCTTTCTCTTTTTTTTTCTTCTTTCTTTTTCTCTTTCTTTCTTTCTTTTTCTTTCTTTCTTTTTTTCTTTCTTCTTTCTTTCTTTCTTTTTCTTTCTTTCTTTCTCTCTCTTTCTTTCTTTCTTTCTTTCTTCTTTTTTCTTCCTTTCTGTCTCTGTCTCTCTCTCCTATCCTTCTCCCTCTTTCCCTCCCATCTTCCTCTTTCCTTTTCAGCCTTCTCCCAAAGATGCTTTTTCAAGAGGCAATTGGACTTTCTTGTTTATATTTGAAGACGTTTCGATTCTCCTCCAAGAAGCTTCTTCAGCTCTGACTGGATGGTGGGGAATGGAAGGATTTATACTCCTTGCAGACAGCTGGTCATTTGCCTCCTTTTAGAGAGTCGTTGAGGCCACTTGGGGGTTTGTCTGTAGTAGTAGTGCAAACAGGTTTATCCATAACCCATTTGTACTACTCAGGCGACCCTGGGGTCACAGACAAACCTCCAAGTGGCCTCAACAACTCTCTAAAAGGATGCAAATGAATGAATAAAGCATGCAAACGAATGAATAAAGAATACAAACGAATGAATAAAGAATGCAAATGAATGAATAAAGAATGCAAATGAATGAAGAATGCAAATGAATGAATAAAGAATACAAATGAATGAATAAAGAAGGCAGATGACCAGCTGTCTGCAAGGAGTATAAATCCTTCCATTCCTCAGCATCCAGTCAGAGCTGAAGAAGCTTCTGTGGATGAGAAGTGAAACGTCTCCAAAAAAGAAAAAACAAGAAAGTCCAGTTGCCTCTTGAAAAAGCAGCTTTGGGACAACCAGGACCTGGATGACGGAGA